TTACCAGAAACAGGAGAGAATGAATGTGGGCAGAAAAGAAGAGAAGGAAAGTGGGAGGAAAAGTAAAGAAAGAAAAGGAGAAAAGAAGAGGAGGAAAATAGGGGGGGAAGAAAAGAAAGAAAGTAGGCAAAAAAGAAGAGAAGGAAAGTGAAGGAAAAAAAGAAAAGAAAGAAAGTAGGAAAAAAAAGAAGAGAAAGAAAAAGGAAACAGAAAAAAAGAAAGAGTAGGCAAAAAAGAAGAGAAGGAAAGTGAAGGAAACAGAAAAGAAAGAAAGTAGGCAAAAAAGAAGAGAAGGAAAGTGAAGGAAACAGAAAAGAAAGAAAGTAGGCAAAAAAGAAGAGAAGGAAAGTGTAGGAAACAGAAAAGAAAGAAAGTAGGCAAAAAAGAAGAGAAGGAAAGTGGATGGAAAAGAAAGAAAGACAATAAAAAGACGAAGACAGTGAGGGAAAAAGAGAAAAGAAAGAAAGTAGGCAAAAAAGAAGAAGGAAAAAGAAAAGAAAGAAAGTAGACAAAAAAGAAGAGAAAGAAAGTAAGGGAAAAAGAAGCAAAGGAATGTGGGGATACCACAGGAGAAACTAAAAGGAAAATTTCAAAGGTGAAGTTAGAACTCTGTGAAATAAAGTGATAAAAGTAATGAATTAGAGGGAAAAAAGAAAAAAAAGATATTGTTAAAGGAGGAAAGATTAATAAGAAAGAGAAAGAAAAAGAGATAAAAAAGTAGAGAAAGAAATAAGAAGATAGAAGAATAAACCAGCAAAAAGAGAGAAAAACAAAATAAATAAGAAAAGAGAAAAAAGTTAATAGAAAAAAGAATAAAAACAATTTTTTTTTAAAGAGGGTGAAAGATAATGTAAGAAGAAAGAAAACAAGAAGAAAATATATTGAAAGAGTAAAAAATAGTGTATAAAGGAAGGAAAAAGAACAGAAGAAAATGTCAGGAGAGTGAAAAATAAAGTATAGGAAGAATGAAACAGAATAAAGAAAAAAAAAAGGATAGAAAATAGAAAAAATGGGCAGAAGAAAAAAAAAAGAAAGGAAAAAAATAGTTGATCTTTAATATTGACTGCAGATATTTAACATTTTTCTAAAGTTCATAATGAAATAAGCCAACAACTTCATAGATAATAGTGAATATCAAAGAAGGGTCTGTAATGTAATCGATCCTGATCTGGCATCTCAACTTTCTCGCTGTCATGACATGTTTTCTCTCTATCTTTTCTACAAATATTTTCATGGCAATTGTTCTGATGACCCCCTTTTTTTTTCTTAGTATGTTGAATGTATGAATTTAAGCATGCTACTAGATTGGCAACTAGGTCTCACTGTTTTTTTACTGTTGAACTAGTTAGAAGCAACCATCACTTCTATTCTAATATTTTCTTTTCTAGCACTTCTTACCTGTGGAACACCCTTCTGATTTCTTGTTTCCATGCTACCTTTTTTTTCTTTCTTTATTTTTAATCAATTCACCCCAACCAAGGCAGGAATGCCACTAGTATACAGGGGGTTACAGAGAGTGAAAGTGAGAGAAAAATACAGGGGATTGAGAAAAGGATAAAAAATGAACAGGATTTCGAGACAACAGAAGATGGTGATTGACATTGCATTTAAATTTTTGAAGATTGTAGTCATCAGGGGAGAAAGTAAAAGGGAGGGAGTTCCACTGTCTGGAAGTATGAGAAAAGAAATTGTTTGAGTAGAAGTGGCGATTACATTTAACTATTTCAACAGTAAAAGGGTGGGACCTAGATGCCAATCTAGTAGTACGCTTAAATTCATGTAATGGGAGCACCAAGAAAAACAGCTCGTCAGAGTAGTTGCCATGAAAATATCTGTAGAAAAGACAGACAGAAGCCAGGTCATGTTGGTAAGAATGTGACTGAAGTCAACACACCAAGGCAGAATCTATTACATTGTAGATCCTTCTTTGGATTTTGTCAAAAATCTCAAAATGAATAGCAGGAGTGCCAGACTAGATTCAATGCATAGCCAAATGATAGATTTGTAAATGTGCAAGATGGACTCTGATGAGAAAAATCTTCTGGCACGGTACAATTAAACAACATTCCTTGTAGTAGATGCAGATATTGATTCAATGTAGTTGTTCCACTTCAAGTCAGTTGAAAATGTGAGGCCAAAAAGGCATTTAAGCATTTGTTAATAGTCATGTTGGTGTAAAGGGATCTAACATCTAAACTATCCATGAGGTTATCAGTTATATTCCTAGTTTTTTGACTCATCACCAATCACTGCTATTTCACCTTTGGCAATCATATCCTGTAAATACTCAGTAAGGCTCATGTCAAGTAAACATGAGGACCATTGCATCCATTGGGTAATTTTGGCCTGATGACACAGTGCATTACCTTGCCAGAATAATCCATCATTGTCAGAGTACATAGTTGCAAATGGTCAAAAACAATGCAACCTAGCACTCATTGGGTAGTGAATAGTTTGGGTAAACCAGTGAACCCAACTATGGTACATAAATGAACCCGCTTCATCACAGAATCATCACCTGCTGACAAATTTGTTAACTGGTGTCTATGGTTTCACGGGATCTGCAAAGTATCCAAACCCTATCAGCCTGAAATAACAGGTACTGTGACACATCAAAGCTTTTCCATTTTCCCTGTCACCAAATAGACCTCTGTAACATGCCCTATGGGGAGAGTTTTATTAGCATGCAAGATACAACACCTTTCCTCGAAAATGTTTAATGTGAGTCCAAATTACTCAGAGAACAACATATAATTTTGGCCAGTATTTTTATAAGTTTCCATCTGACATTAAAATACATATTCAAGTGAAACTCATAAAAAAGTCCAATAAACAATTCCTGACCATTCTAAAAGAACATATGTAAATGAAGGATTACTGCTTAAATATGTGTACATAGACACTCACACACACACTATATATATATATATATATATATATATATATATGTTCTGAACAATAAAAATTAAAAAAAATTAAATTTTCAAACACACTGGGTTGTATATTAATATTTTTTTGTTTTGATATTTCAATTAGGTTCCTCAACTAGTTTCAGCCATCATGGTCATCATCAGGAGAAAAAAAAAATTCTGCTTGTTAGTAGCAGTGAACTACAGGAATGAATGTCTTTCTGAAAAAAATGAACTTTATCTGTAGTTTTCACTTGTTTTTTATCATTAGTTTTGGTCAGTCCTTGTGTTGGTCAAATGGCCTCTTTTAAGTTGTTTTTAAGGTAGAGGCTGGGGAGATTTAGAATTCCCTTCTTGGTCATTTTGACAGTTTTATTGGTTGCTGGGAAGGGGATGTGTGCATGTTAAGTGTATGTTATCATTTGTTCTTTGGGAATGGGTATGATGTGTGTAAGTGCATATATTAGTATGGGTGTGTGTACAAGTGTGAGACCTCAACACCTCTGCAAGCATGTCTGTCTTGTGTCGGTGAGAAATGTGGGTAGGGCTTGATTTATGGGGTTATATATTAATTCTATCTATGTTGTTAAATTTGTGGTTAAGCCCAGCTGGATAAAGTGTTCTGAGGTGAAAATCCATTTGTCTTATTGTTTCTTTAGATTTTTCTAATGTTATCTTTTCTGTCTAATTCTATTTTTTCAATTATAGTGAATTTGGCATGGCTTTTAAAATCATGTTTTTCTAGGCAAAAATGTTGTTCTACAGGTAATAATCTTTCACGGGGAGCCGACTTAATCCAATTGCGATAATTATTAATTCTGTAGTGAAAAAGCCATTTAGATTTTCCCACATATTTTTTCTGGCACAGTGTGCATTCTAATAGGTAAATTATGTTATGACTTCTATAGTTAGAGTCATGGTAGATTTTCAAAGTAGATTTAGTGACTGAGCTAGTGAACAAATTGGTGTGTCTAATGTGGTTACAGCATAAGCTCCTTTTGTTATTACATGGTTGGGAAAATCCTGTTGTTTTTATTTTTGGTCTATTATGGATTGCCTTATCATCTGAAATTTGGTTACTACCTATAATTTCCTTAAGGTTCTTAGGTCTACAATATGCTAGAAATCCAGGTTCCTCAAACAGAATTTTTAGGTCTGGTTTGAGATGTAGTATTTCCCAGTGACTTTTGATTATCTGAGATAGGGGAGGATGAGTAGCACTGAAAGTGGTTACTCGAGGGATGTGTCTGGATTTATTTTTAAATTTATACATTAGGGTGTCTTCTCTAGGCATGGAAATTGCTTTATTTATTTGTTCCTTGATTAAGTGTTGTTTATAAGTGTTGTGAATTAATGCTTGAGATTTTGAGGGTGTTTATTTAGTTCTTCATTGTTGGAACATATCATTCTGAATCTAAGTGCTTGTGAATAGGGAAGGTACTCCTTAGGGTGTTTAGGGTGGGAAACTTAAAGTGTAGATAGTTGTGGGTGTCACTAATTTTAGTGTGTAGTGTCATTTGTAGTTTTCTGTTTTTATTGATGTAAATGTGGGTGTCTAAAAATGTTACCGATCCTGTTGATTTTTCATGGTCAAACTTACTCCAGTCATGTACTGTATTTAAGGTCATAAGGAATTCAGTGAGTTTCTCCTCACTACCCGTGTATCTAAAGAAGATATCATTGATATATCTCATAGAATATGCAGTCGCTACCAAGGAAAGAATAAATATGGGTCTCCTCAAATTTTCCCATGAAAATTGTGGCATATGATGAAGCTGCAACTGTGCCCATGGCACAGCCTCTTACTAGCAGGTAGTGTTTTCCATTGAAATTAAAAGTATCCAATGTAAGAATATGTTCCATGAGTTTTATAATAACTTCTGGGTGGGGTCTTTTCTTCTTTTAGTAAGTGCTTCTTTAAGGGTGGTTAGTCCTTTGAAGTATTTGATGTTTGAATAAAGTGGTCTCTCTCTCTCTCTCTCTATATATATATATATATATATATATAAACACATACACACACCAGAATAAACCAAGTAACCAGTAAAAAGAAACTATCAATCCCAAGCCTGTCAAAGAAGAAAACTTGAAAAAAAAAAGGGAAAGAAAAGGCAGACACCTACTCCACAAACTAAGACAGAGCTATAACATTCTTTATTCTACTTCATCTTTATGTCTGTATCCCTTCCAAACAAGTGATCATGACCCTCTTAATAAATTGTCTTTTTGCTATTTCTCTCAAACCCTGTTCTACAATCGATTTACTGCCCATCAAGTATGTTATATGCTATTTTCCTCTGTCCCCCTCTCTCTCATTCTGTCCTGTGGGTATCAGATTTTTCCAAGATCTTCTTCCTTATTACATGCTCCAGAAATTTCAACTGGCTCTTCTTGATGTTCAGTCAGTTATGTGCCATGCATGATACATGCTTAGGCGATCATGTATCTTTCAATACATGACTGACGAGGCAGATTTTTTTTTTCCCGCAGTAGGTTGCCATCCAAGGCTATAGAACCCAGTCTGTTCTGCTATTTATCCATAGCTGGGAGAAGAAGAGGATTCATACCTTTCCCAAGGGTATTAGCACATAAGTGAATGTAATGGATTTGACTGGAATTCAAACTCGGCTCTCCGATTCCTCAATCTGACCTGCTCTCCATTACTCCACTGTGCTTCCTCTTTCCAGATGTTACATATAAGTTTCTTTTTTGTTTGCATTTTCTCTAAAACCTCATCATTGTTCACATGTTCAGTCCATGGTATTCTCAGGATATTTCTATAGAACCACATTTCTGTTGCTTCAAGTCACTTCTTCATCTTTGAGGAGACTGTCCATATGTGATATAGGAGGACAAATATCATCTAAGAATTTAGTACTCTTTTCTTTGTTTCTAACAAAGTTTTTCTGTATCTTAATACTCTGTTTAGCATTTGGAATTCATCTTTGGCCATGCCAATGCATCTTCAGATCTCAATTTCACACTTTCTGTCCTCTGTTAAAACACTCCCCAGATAATTATATCTTTGTACTTGTTTGATTTTAGTATCTTCGATTTGTAATTTGCATTTTAGGCTCATCCTTTGAAGATCACCTTAGTGTAAAACAAGGAGATACAATTTCAGATTAGATATTATTATAATAACCCTTTCTAGTTTGTCAATCATTTCCTGAAGTTAAGATGAAATTCATCAAGGAAGGCGGCATAGTTTTTTTTTTTTATCCAAGTACTTTCGATCTCATTCAAAATCATCAGCAGGATTGAAAGTTGTCTTTGTAATTCACTCGTGAGGGTGATCTTGGAGGAAGTCAAAAGTACTTGGGTAAAAAAAAACAAAAAAACTATAGCACCTTTCTTAATTAATTTCATTTTAGCATCAATCAACTGATTAGAGAACTAGAAAGAATTATTATAAAAATAAATAGACATATGTCTATATTATTCAATGAAACATGTTTAAATGAAGAAATGCTACCTAAATATACATAAGTGTGTGTGTGTGCGTCTATACACGCACACACATGCATACATACACACACAGAGCAAGTAATGCATTATTCACTGTGTGTTTTGTATAAATTCCATTCCCAAGATAAACAAAATTCTTCTTTACCAATCCAAAGTCTTTCTTTCTATCTCTTTCCTTCTTTTAATCCATAAACATTTAAAGTAGCCGTAATAAATCCACTGTTAATTTCTTGCATAAAAAGTGAAACAGTGAATTTAAAATCATTTAATCCATTATTAGCTAAAAATAGTTCTTTTATATCAGATCTTCCATGAAGCCAGCCAACGCCCACAGATTTCTCTGGTGAACCATCTGACATACTCTACTGAGCTGGTTAATAGACATTAAAAGCAATAGATTGGAACTGAATAAGAATAATGTTTAAGAAAGTAAATAATTCTTCTCTTTTTTTTTTTAATTCCTAATAAATTGATGAGGATCGTGTTCTTGCAATTCCTCATGCAAGCTTCTTTTTTTTTTGTTGTAAGAATTAGTACAAACTGATGTCCACATCAAAAATGATTGCTTATGATGTATTATTTTTCTTTGTAAACTATAATCATCATCTTCATCATCATCAAAACTGTTTCCCTTCAAAATAAACATTTCATTTCTTTTCTTCCTTGTATTATATAGGAAGCAGTAATTACAAAAAAAACTATTCCAACAATATTAGAATTTAGTAATGCATTCTTGAACCTGATTTTCTGACTGAGATCATTGTATGTTTGATACTTGTACCAGTTATCAATATAAACAGTCAGAATTTTGAATAGTGATTTTCAAAGCATGCAGTTCCTACTCAATACTGTCTTCCTAAAGCCTGATTCCTTTTGTTTGACCATCTATCATAAGCTAAGAAAATATAGTTTCTTCTTCTATGTGCTTCTCAGGACATTGATGACTATGGCTCTCCACAGTTTCTTGTGATTTGTAGCTCTTATTAAAGCTTGTCTTTCTGTTATCTATCTTAAACCCTGTTCTGCCATCTTCCTACATGAGCTTGTTAGGCAGGTTATGCATTGTTTTCCTCTATCCTTCTTGCCTTCTATATATCCTGTGAGTATCAAATTTTCCAGGCCATCTTTCCTCATTATGTGCCTTAGAAATTTCAACTACATCTTCTTGATATTAAGTATAAGTGACTTTTTTGTTTTCATTTTCTCTAAAACTATGTTCTTGCTCACATGTTCAGTCCATAGTATTTTCAGTATCTTTCTGAGAACCACGTTTCTGTTGCTTCAAGTCTCTTCTTCATCTTTAAGGAGACTGCGCAGCATTCCCTGCCATATAGGAGGACTGATATTACATAACAGTTCAGTACTCTTTTCTTTATTACTAATGAAATCTTTCTTTTCTTAATAATTTGCTTAGCTTTTGGAAGATATCTTTCGCTATTCTAATGTGTCTTTGGAATTCGTTAACACACTTTACATCCTTTGTAAAAACACTTAACAGATAAGAAGATGCCAAACAAAGTTGGTGCTAAAATGCATCCTTGTTTTATAGGAGAACTGATATCATGTAACAGCTCAGTACGTTTTTCTTTGTTTCTAATGAAATTTTCTTGTTTCTTAATACTTTGCTTAGCTTTCATAAGGTATCTTTTGCTACCCTAATGTGCCTTCAGATTTTGTTAACGCACTTTCATTCCTTTGTAAATTTTAATTAGTAACTGAAACAGACCTTTCCTTCTAGCAAACACCTTTGAGAGATTGATGAAGGTGATTTATAGGGACATCTGTTATTCATGACATTTCTCCCGGAGCTGATGTAGAGAGAAGTTCATGTCAACAGTGGATTTTTTAGGCCTGAATCCACCTTGGGATTATGGGTAGATTCAATCAGCAAGCACTTGGAATCATGTTAAAACCACCTAGGCAAAGAGTTTTCCAACAATGCTTAACAGGGAGGTACTACATTAGTTTTTGCAGTTACTGTATTTGCCCTTGTTTTTATACAGGGTAATTATCTTGGCATTGAACATGTCCTGAAGAATCTTGCCTTCACTCAGGCAGAGGCTCAGAATTTGATGATCTCTGGTTGCATGCCATCTTCACTTGATGCTTTACCACAAGCTAGACCATCAATAGCTTTGCTAATCTCTTCCTTTGAGTCCAGCACTACCAGGACTGGTGGACCCTTAGTAACATCAAGTGCTCCTTTAGTGATGGAATTTTCTCTTGAGTAAAATTCTATGTAGTGCTCTACACATCATCCCATTTATTTGTCTTTTTCTGTAATTAATTTCTCTTTTTTTGATCTCAGGGAGACAAATTTTTTTATTGGTTTGCCAGTTGCTTGTTTAATGCTCTTGTACATGTTTCGGATGTTGCCGTTTTCCAAAGCCTATTAGATGCTATCTGACAGAGGGAGCCAGTAGTCATTTGAACAGTGACGTGTTGTTTGTTAGGCCTTGCTATAGTTCTAGTGTGCTAATGTTAACCTCAAACCTTATTTTTATGTATCTTCTTTCCGTAGGTCAAGGTTGCATTGTTAGTGTTCTGAAGAAAATTCTTCCATGGACTGTGATGAATCACTGGGAACAGTCTCCACAAGCCTCTCTAAATCTTGCTGGCATTTCTTCTTTGAATGGTCAGAGCTGTGCCAGATTCTTAGGTTTTAACATTACCTCTGAGGAGATGTGTTCGGTCTGGTAAGCACTGTGGTAACCTCTGGTGTTGGAGACATTGTTTAAGGAGTCATGTCTGGTTATGACCCAGTTCAGCTGGTGCCATTAGTTTAACCTTGGATGTCTTCAGGATGCTTTGTGCAAAGCCTTGTTCTGAAAATAGGTGTTTGTCACACACAATTTATGATCAGTAGAATTCTAGGAGTCTTTGGACATTCTCATTCATTTTCCTTATATTATAACCTAACATGTTTGACCAGTATACTTAATCATTGCCCACTGTTGCATTGAAGTCAAATATGTTCATATGATGAGACATGCTTGAAAAGGCTGTCAAGATTGTGTCTAGAACTGGATTTTTACTTTGTGTGCTGCTTGTAGTGTTGGTGCATACATGCACAAAAGGTTTTATATGTAGAGCAGTGAAGGGTGAGAATTCTTTCTGTGCTACCTGTTAGAGGTTCAATTATATGGAGCAAGGTGTTCCTGACAGTGAATCCAACTTCATGTTCTTTGCATTCATTGACTACTCTCCTCTGCTGGAAGGTGTAGTGTTCTTTCTTTAGAGATCCACTGTCTAGAAATTGTTTTTCCTACAGAGCTGGCACATTAATTTTCAGTCTATTTAGCTCACTATCAATCACTGCAGTCTTGCAAGAGTCATCAATTTTCTGAAGGTCATCAGATAGACCTGTGTGCATAGTTTATACATTTCAGCTTGTGATACACAGAGCTGGATTCTTCGTTCTGTTTTCATTTTGTTGTTTGTCTGGCACATGGGTTTTGATCTACGAGTTAAGCTAGCAGTTATAAACTTCAGGCACCAACTGAAGCAAGCAGATTGTGGTAGGTTAACACTCTACTGTCTGGAAAGACAGCCAGTGGGAACCAACTCCATACCAGTCAAGTATTGACTTATAACATAAAATGATGTCTCCTATGTGATGTCCTCACCGGGTAGTGAGATTGGAGTGACATCTCCAGGGTACAGGCCTGGTTGATGGTATATGGAGGCTATGCACTGCCTAGAGAACATGGCCCCCCTTCTTGGCCATACTGACAAGATCCAAAGGAATACAGCGATTACATTTGGGAATGGCTTGGCTGCAGGAGTTGCCAGAAAAATGTCAGTGTTGATAGTCAACTGTCTTTGAGGCTCCACTCCAGATTTTCTGTCTGGATTTACTTCTATAGCCTTTTCTGTATTTAGATATTATTGTAAAGCATCGAAGGTTTAAAATCAGCATTTTCCTTCTGCTAGATGGACTGCTTTTCCAGAGTGATGAGTTCCATCTACTCAAAGCACCTGGTTATAAGGTGCTAGAAGTCTACCTTCACCCATTCTTCCGTTTGGAGATGGACTTGTCACAGGCTATTTGAGATGCATATCATTATTGTTATGTTATGCATATCTCTCTACGTAGTAGTAGTCATTGTACAGTTTTCTGTGTTCTGAATAGCAACCAGGTTTGCTAGGTATAGCTGTTCCCTATGTTCGCCAGTTGTTCTCTATTTATACTTGTCTATCTAACTTGCATACAATACTACAATTATTTTGCTTTAAATGTTATTTTTAGTAGAAACCAGTGTTTGAAATAGACATTCTATTTTTTTCAAGTTAAACTGTGTGTATTATATCTATTGGTCTGGACATTTGAAGAAACTTAAGAAAATGTGTTCTCTGGCAGGGTTCAAAACTGCATCTCCCTTGTTCAATTGTTCTCAAAATCCCATAACTGTTTGAAGAAAGTAAATTCCAAAGAATCAATGGACTTATATTTAATCCAACATTTTTATTAATTCAAATGTTATTTTTATTGAATATTTGTACTTGAAATAGACACCCCATTTTTTAAAATATTTTAAACAGCATATATTATGTCTATCAGCCTGCACACTCAAGAAAACTTAATAAAGAAAATGTGCTCTATGGCAGGGTTTGAACCTGCATCCCTCTTTGTAGAAGAAACCATCATTTGATTTGGTGTGCTTTAGCAAGATTCTAATTGTCCAAATGTTTGTTTGTTCTGAGCACTTTCTGTTAATTTGTTAGCCATTATCAAAATCTTCTGTTGTGTAATAGTTCTTTTTTTTTTTACAATGATCACCTTATAAAAGGCCAAAGTGTCACTCGAAGTAGAGGGTTTCTGAGTAAGTGCTAAGAAGCACAGTTTATGAGAATATATGGGAAAGATAATGGTTAATACTAGACTTGAATAGGTTAAGATTGTAGTGATCGAAGAAGCATCGTCTTAGAAATTGGTTTCTCAAAGTAGCAGTTCATGGAAAAAAGCTGTTCAAATAGAACCTGCATCTCACCAGTGGAATACAAAGGGAATGTGGGTGATTTGTTGCATAGCAAGTCTTAACTGTGAAAATTAGGACTGGGGAAACTAAGGAATGTAGTTCATCTGAACATTTTCCATGGAAATAGGGTTGTAGGGTAGAAAATTCATCACCCATAAGACATTCCAACTGCGAAAAGCATCTACAAATAATGCAAGTCCTTATTGTAAAAATACAGAATAAGAACTATAGTAATATTAGACAACTCCTTATAACGAACACCAAAATAATAGATAGATCCAGTATCAAAAATAGACTAGAATTATTGAAGCCATATACATTAGGCAAAAACAACCATGCATTAATAAAAATAATTAGTTTCCAACCTAGCATTCTCCATTGCATATAAAAAAACATTTAATCATACATGTTCTACTCTCATTTCATGACAGACAGCATCCAGGACTTAGTACATTTTGGATTTCTTCTATTAAATTTAAATATAACTTATGACTATTACCGTTTTACACAGAATACACTAATTACACACCCCTGAGGATGACTAACAAGATTCAAAGGTTTGGAGATAGCCTTTATAAAAGTTTTGGATATTTCGTACATCAGGAACTACCATTTTTGCAAAGGATTCACTCACAATTTTGAAAGAAAGATGGATAAATTCAATAGACACAAAGTCTATTCTCTTTAATAAGATATGCTTAAAGGAACAATGGCTGCCTACACTAAATATATGATGATAATATTGCCAACTTACTGAACAAAGATGGCCACCAAACAGATTCCAGTCAATGTTGTGGCTATCCCCAGACTCTAAAAACCTAATGGTACCTTTGTGATTGTTTATAGGCATAATGCTACACTGTTATCACTCAGCATCAGGCAGTCTTGATCCAATGACAAGAACCAGTCAAGATAATTGGAAATTGCCTGTGCCACATATAATCCTTACTGATAATAAGACACTAGTATAGTTGTTAATGCCCAATTCATATCAGAATGATAGGATCTCTGCTAATATTATATATTCAAACATGTTTCATTGAATAATATAGATGTACTGTGTCTATTTATTTTTATACTGATCCTTTCCAGTTGTCTAATCAGTTTCTTGATTAGACAACTGGAAAGGAGCAGTATAAAATAGACATATGTCTATATTATTCAATGAAACATGTTTGAATAAAGATATGCTGTTTAAATATACATATTTTAAAATTATATATATATATATATATATATATATATGTATTTTCTTCAAACCCCATAGACTGGTGTTACAGAAACAAAGAACTGTACCAGATAACCCTGAGGACTTTCAACAGCTGCGACAACTAAAATGGGTAGCACATATAACTTGAAGAGAGAATAATGACATGATCAAGATGCTAACACTATCCAAAAAAATCACAATGAAAGAAGCCCTCATCAATACTGGGAAAAGCAATAACAGCTACTGGACTTGAGAAACCCATTCCCTGAAAAATTGTTTTAAAAGAAAGATATTATAAATTTCAATTCAAAGCAGTACTGACTGCTCGGTCAATGAATGCTGAATGTTTCCTTATAAGGAAAGGGCCAATATTACCATTACTATCACCATATATGAGAAAGATAGAGGGGATGTTTCAGCATATATAAAGAGTATAATTTCCAGCATTTGTATTTTTTTTTATTTGCATCACCATGCCATTTATTATAGAGCTACCAAATTTTGTAACAAAGAGGAGGGGGTTTTGTGAGCAGTCCACAAGCACAAACACATCCATAAAAGGCCTTTGCAGTCACTTTCTCTCCCTCCATTACAAAACCTCACAAAGTATGAAACTGCAAGCATTTTAATTTGGCCTTTAAAATTACGATATTTTTGATAATAAAGGTTTTATACTTACCAGTTAAATATCATTAAATCCTCTGAACAATGATATATAGTGCACCTAATAAAAAAAACAAAAAAACAATTAAAGTGATTTTTGCCTAACCTTATATTCTGCATGCTCATTTTTGGCATTTTTTTTTAAAAACATTTTGTTTATTCAGAAAAACCTGGTACATCAAACTATTTAAAAAAAATTAAAAAAAGTACACTTCATTTAATAACATATGAAATTCACTGCTTGGTCAATGAATGCTGTATATTTCTTTATAATGAAATGGTTAATATTACCATTACCATTTAAAATGTCGGTTTTTAAAGCCCTAAGATTTTCATATATTTTCTTCTGATTTCCATATTTTCAAAAATAATATTTTAAAATCTTTTTAAATATTTATTTTTAGAATAAACAAATAGAAAGATTGTATGAAAATGCAACAATTAATAAATTTTGAATATAGCATAAAAAAAATAAGCATAATGTTTGAATATTGAAAAGACAGTTCATCTCTAGTGAAAGCCACATTTTACAGGTGTAAAAAGTCAAGGAGCCCAAAATAGCACCTACAAAACAAGTTTTAAAAAAAGTCAATATTACTAAAGGAATCGACAATTACATTATTTTGTAGATATAGCTTTCTAATTATTCAACAATGAATCTACATTGGAACCTTTAATGAGTAGTGAAATAGACAAACTTCAGCAAAATATGTGGTCATGGAAAAATCTGGAAGGTGACTAACAATTTATTCATTTATAAAAAAAATCTTGGTCATATGTTTTGTGAAATATAGGCTTAAGAAAACAATATTTACTCAAAACAAAACATTATAGGCTGCAAGTTCAGATTCTTTTTTTGTATACTATTGTTCACTCAAT